TGTCACACATCCCACAACATTCTTTATCATCACAGCGATGATACCACATGCATTGGCAAATCAGCAAAATTCATGCTATAATCCCATTGGAAGCAATAAAGAAAAAACATCTAATGCTTTCTTCTGCTTCTTATCTTTCCTTATAAACACAGCCATCAGTTCACTCCTATATTTAAATACTAACACATTAAAGGAATCCATTGCATTTATCTGAAAACTGTTCTACTTGTAGTACCTATTAAAAACATACTGCAACATGGGAGACATAGATTACTGGCTGTAACTTGGATGTTGCTGTGGTTGTTCTTGCTCAACAGAAAACAGAGCAGTCACCTATTCAATAGGTTAGAGATTTTAAGTTTTAGGATCACAAGGACTTAGGAAGCAAGTGCTCCATTTTACAGGGTGTACAACACTCATACAGTTTAGTGCTAATTTTTTTTAAAACATTTATTCTTTTGTTATTAACCTAATACCTTCAATAAAATTAATTTTCCATTTCTTAAATGCAGGCAGGACCACGAACCTCTGCTACTGCTTGACTGAAGAGAAAGACTGAGAAAAGGCTGAAGAAGGAAAGAGGTGGTTATCTCCTTTTGATGGCTTAAAATCACATGAAAAACAATGTCACTCAACGCTTTATTCAAATCTTCACTTCAACATGTTTACATGAGTCTCCCTACTGAGCAGAATCAGAATAATAAAGGCTTACTTTCCACAGGTTACTGCTTAGAACTAGGAGATCTGCAAACAGAAGACAACTTCTGTTATTCAAAATTCTTTAAAACGGGCCTAGAACACAGCTAGAAAGAGTTAAATCAACAGACAGTGATCAAAAATCAATGTTTATCACCTTCATCAGACATATGAACTCTGCTGCGGTTCCTATGACTCTGCTGACAGTAACCTTCTAAAAGCATGCTACTATAGTAGGAGTCTGAAAAACACCTGCACATGAACTTAAGTTATACCAAACAAAACAGTCACAGTGACTCTAGCTGAATACGACTTTGTTCTGGTGATGGAGAAAGGAGGCAAGTACCTTGATCAAGATGCCTAACACCTCAATGAAACCAAAACTTCTCTCCAAAATTCACCAGTCATCAGGTTTGCAAGGAACAAAAAAAAAAAAAAAAAAAAAAGGGGGGGGGGGGGAGAAAATATGCAAGCTTTCAGTTCAGAAAGATACAAAAAATGCAAGCCTAAAGTGCGAGGAGTCAGATCCTATGTAAAAACTTTTCCAGACTTTGAAGTTGTACAGATCAGGGGTTTAGTAAGCATGTGTCATTTACTCATTTTCTAGAAGAAAAAATGAGCCCTTATTCTTTATATTAGGCACAAGTATTACAAAAAGTATAAACATCTACTAAAACAACAGCAAGACACAAACATTCTTTTCCCTTCCCAGCTTCCTGATCCACAAACATTGTTTCCCTTTAACGTAATTGCTTTACTGCTAATTAATCTTCCTTGGAAATTTAGGTGAGGCTTTTAAAGCGTCCCTTAAAGCTTTTCAGATATGGCGCATTTTACAGTGTTTTTCTTACAATGTTGTTTTAGGGTAATGCTATTTTATTTAGAAAGAAAATGAGATATAAATGAACTAACCTTTCATAACTGTGCATTAAAACCAAAACCAAACCGAAACAAAAAACCCGCAGTATGACATGGTGACCAGTACTTGCTCCAATTCTTTTTAAAGGCAGGATTTTGGGGTTTCAGCATTGGCAGCACTACTTTGTCCTGTATGATTCCAAGGCAATTTAAAGGAGTAATTTCATGTCCTGTTAAAATGCAATCTACTTTGTGGTGAAGCAGGGAGGGCTATCTAAAACACTACCCCTGAATAAAACCCTAAGTAATTCCTTGCCCAGTAAAAAACACAAGCTCAGGTTGAGCGTAATTACTGAAATGTGGCCAGTGCAGAAGTCCAGCACCATATAGAGAGAACTATTACTGTATTTAAAAGTTATAGCACATCAGCATATTCTCATCTGAAAAAGCTATCCATCTCTGACAGTACATGAGCCCTTGAGCATACACTGAACTAATGGTTTGTTGTAATCTCACGGACAGCACTGAAGTGAAAAATATGCAAGTAAGAAAAACCTAATTTAAAAAAAAGATGAAGACATTTTGGACACAAGTCTATTCAAACACAACAGTACTGCTGGGAATTGTCAGGGGGCTTATACAATCTTGACAGCATACCAATGACACAAAAGCTGCTGTACAGCCGACCTACGGTCTTAGTAGTACCATGGCCATGAACATTCTGCCTTTGTCCCTTAGATTCAACTTCTTTCTACTACTTGTGGTCAGATTTGGTTTGTCTTGCATGTAGACAGCAAAGACAGAATAGCCTGTAAGAGCAATCTAATTACTTTGGGAACTGCTTAGCCAGCACAGTGAAGATTAAAACTTTCAAGCTGGACATTCTCCCAAAACTTAAGGTATAATCCAAACATTAAGTTGTGTGTTAACATTGAGTTTGTGCTGTTTCTGGGTTTATCAACAGACTCCAAGCCATCTCCCCCTCACCTGGCACATCCAATACAAATGGTCAAAAGAAGATCCATTGATTTCTTCCACTGGACCACAAAGCCTGCAGCAAAATACTATGGAAAAATTAATCACTCAAACTCCTGTGCACAACTTATTAAATACTGCATATTCAGATTCCCCCAGCCCCTGAAATGCAAGCCTCTTTTAGTCTTTGAAAACAATTAACAGATAAAGATCTGATTCCAATTACACCTGGACTACAACTAAAATCATAGTTTTGTATACTATGGCCTATAAAGGGCTTAAGCAGAAGATGTTCTTAAAAGCCCTATGGCCAAAGATGCATGGGAGCTAGTTACCTAAATAGCGTTAGTTCTTTAGCAGACCTAACTGCTAACTTGCTGAAAAATTTTACAGAATGCTCAGGCTTTCTTTTTTAAGTTCGCCAAGACTTGCAAAAGAACAGTAGAATGCTGGGAAAATAAAGGAGTAATCCAGTGCTGGCTGTGTTGTATTTTAAGCACTGATGCTAAAAACCCCCAACACTCCAGCACAAAGGAAGTGCTTGGAGCAACTTCTAAACTAAACTGCTAAAAACTACTCCAGAAAGGCATCAGATTCAGAATCACAAACTCTGTCCTTCCAAATGTGTTTCCATGGAATATTTTACAAAGAAGAGAGAAACCTCTGTAATTTTTATAGAGCTGACATAGGAAAGACTGAATAGTGTGGAAAACAGCAAGCAATAATTAAAAAAAATAAAAAGCGTCTTGTGCTCACTATTGAGGTATTTCTCAATACTTTACACAGTCAAAATACATTAACTTAAACCAAACAACTAAAAACCTTGAATAAAATGACCTAACTTTATAAGCACCCTAGAGAAAAGCTGACAACCCAGTGCTCAGCAGCTCACCTCTGCAGTCATAACTCTTGTTTGCAGTTGGTTACTATCAAGAATAAATACGAGACAAAAGATACAGTGCCAAAAAAGGTTTCAACCTGCACAAATACTACATACTGCAAGCTACAACAGCTACTAGAACTTCTGTATGACCATACATACTAAATGTTTGTACATATTTCAAAACCAGGAAATGAAGACCAAGTTCTCCAGGAGCTAGGATCACACTGCTAATTAACACCAGTTTAATGGTTAGCAGACAGATACTAGTAAAAAGAATTGGAGTAATAGACTGTATTTAATCCAAGCAAAAGCATATTCTAACCAACTTTGATCAGATCCACTCCCCCCCCATATTACATGATCAGAACATGTAAAGTAGGTTTCCATGTGTGGTTTTATATATAATGGCGGGTGAAGTAGCTGCCCATCCGATCTTGCTCATCCTGAATGCTACAAAACTCCAAACCACAGTAGCATGCAAACCCAGAATTTATTCCACACAGCTTCAGCAGCTAAATTCACAGAGCAAAAGAACCATATTTCACATAATGTTAGAGACTTCTGGGCAGTAGGGGGAGTATTTGGCTCAGAACTACACTCAAAATGAAAAAAAAACCTATGAATTTTAAAACACTGCACATCGCATTACAAAGATACCAGCCAACAGATCCCTGAATCAGAAAAGAAAAACAATTCAGCAACATTATACAAGAGTTCAGTGTCAAATGACTGCTTGCTTCTCAACTTCAGTACTGTGATACATACCACAAAATGCAGTGGGTTAGGTATCAGTAAGAAAATCTGTAAATATTTTAAAAAGCAGTGCATTTTCATTATAAGCTGGAGAAAAGTGAAAGGTACACACAAGGAAAAAAGAACAGCATTAAGATACACAGTAATAGAAATTGTTTAATACCCCAAAACACAGGATCCTGCTGGAGTTTTTTTCATAAACATTTTAAATTTGATGGTATAAAGACTGACTTACGCACCTAAACTTACACTAACTGTCTTTGCAAAAGATGACAGGTAAAACCACCTTCAGACAGGAAGCCAACTTTCTTCCTGTTGTTTAATCAACAATTACTAAAATGAGAATGCTTCTTTCTTCTTCACTTAAATAATGCCACAGGATTTGTGAAAGGATAAATATATACAGATAAACAAATAGAATATTTAAATTATACAACTTCAGAATATTTTGTGTGGCAGTAGCATATTCTATGGCATATTCTATGGGGGAGTGGGACAGCGCATGAGGGAAAAAGTGTTTCATGCAGAAAGCACAAAGAGAGACTGCCAAAGTAAGTGTGGGCTTCTCTTACACCAGTGAATGTAGGTAAAATCCCTCTTGCTTTATAAAAATTCCAAAGTGTCATCAGGGGAGGAAAAACAAAAGTAATGATTCTTGCCATACAGGTAGAACATATGAAAAAATGTGTAATAAAACCTCTGTTACATGACGCCCCCATCTTTTTCCCCCCCCAAAAGAAGAGTATAAATACACTAAACAACTTAATGACAACTTACCAGCTCTCATCATACATCACAACTCAAATACTAGCATACAGATAATCAGAACACTGACATGATGTGCAAAGTACTGATCTTCAGCTGTATTTCAGCAGTAATGCTTATGACTGCAGCTTATGGAGCACCTCTGTCAAAAGACGAAGAAGGGCGCCTTCTTAAAGCTTTAATAGAAGATTTAAAACTCCTGGAAAAAAGCAAGGACGTAAGTGGTTGATTTTCTATTGTAAGATCCTTTTCTATTTAGTTTTTTTCTATGTATTTTTTCAGAAAAATTAACTTTTTCTCCCCCTTCTCTACAGAAGATTCATTTTGAACTTTACACGCCAGATGAGAAACAGGTGAGTTTAAGTTTTCTGTTTGCAGAAGGATTTCTAAGGTATGGCTACTTTAAAATGATACATCATTGAGTTACACCAAAACAATTCACTTATCAGGGGGGCAGATATAAAAGACAAATCTGAACAGTTTGAATTCAGTGTGGGGAGCGCAGTTTCTTAAAGACACTTCTGCATTTGATGTGTATGCTCAAACATTAACAGGCTGATGTACAGTATTACCCCCTTCTTCTGTGCAGCATGTAACACAAAAGGAATCCTCCCTATTCATCCTGCTTAATACATGGTTGCATTCACAGGAAAAAACATTTTATGAATTATTTAAGCATTGTGTAAGATTTGCAGGAGGCAATACTGTTAACACTAACACAAGAACAATTTTGAGAATGAAACTAGACTTAGAAATAGATTAAATAAAGCAATATCTATATGAAATTGCCCATATTTTATCTAAACTACATGCAGAGCCACTAGCCGGTTCTTTTTAAGATGTTATGTGTCTTCTATATCCCACCAATGATGAAACACAGTTATGCTCTACCTAATTCTTTTCAGGAACAAAACTTTACCAAGCCATTCTAGATATATTAGCTATATACTCATGTTTTATGGTATTTAGTTAATGCTTAAGACTTAGTTCCATAAGAACACTATCATCGTGGTTGCTTCTTTCTAAAAAATTGCACATCAGAGCGCAGATAGTGTTCTAAGTACAGCTTTACCACTATTCATCATCGACAGGCTGCTGATCTGTACTACTTTTAAGTTCAGCATGCAAGTAGACCAACAAACAGGAACATCAAGTCATCAAGTTACTTAGTATTGGGAAGTAGTTAAAAACTTTATGCAAGTTATCTGTTAACTACTTTGAACCTTCAGTTAAGTTTTTAATCCAGAAGAATTCTCACTTAACAGTAATTTTGTTTCAGTAACGATTTAAAGCCAGATTCTGCAACCACTTCCTTATCTGAGTCATCTTTGTCATATGCTGGCAACATCAAGACATAACTATCTCAGGGCTCCAGTGCTTAAATGCAAATGTATGAGGCAGATTAATAACATACTGTCACTGAGTGCCTGAAATAGCTTGTAAAACTGATGCGTAAAGTTATTTATCATATTCAAAAGCCAGATCAGACGCAGACATTAGACAGAGCAACCAAAGTGCATTAACTGAAGATGGCTCTAAAAGGCCACTGTAAAACTGACAGAGGCTTTGACTATTAACCCCTTTGCTAAGACATGATTTCCAAATGACAACTAGGAGTATGGCTTGGTTTAGGAGCAAATACTACAGCTTTGTGTTCCCAAGAGATATCCCTACACTTCAAGTGCCCTGTAAAGATTACTCACTTTTCAAAAGCTACAATAATCTACCATAGAACTAAGGCCACATGTAACATCTTACAATACAACTTTAGGGGGGAATAAATGAACTATACGTTGTAGAAAACCAACAGCTTAATTCCTGATATAAGGATAAAAACAACGGGAAATTGAGGTTCTTTTAAATCAAATCAATTTTCCTCAGGAAGCAAGTTACATATATAATGATTTTGCTGACTGTTTCAGGAGTGCAACCGGACATCTCTACAATGTTACCTGAGAGAACTGAGCACCTTGGAGAATGAAATTGAAGAGGAGGATGCTGATAATCTTCAAAATATCATAAAGAATCTCCAGAGTCTTACGGCAGGCAATCAGGTAAAAACGAAAAGAAGAAAAAAAGTGTTTCAGTGTTAGTGAAAAACAATGCCAGAATCAGTGTTTTTATGCCTCAAGGTCTATGTGTTATCATCTCTTGAGAATACAGGATTTTATACAAAAATATCATCGCATTAAACTATAAGACACCATCTATTTGCACGATAATCCAATACAGTAAAACAGATTTGAGCCGTACTAGTTATACAAGTCAACATTTGAAAAAATATGACATTTTTTTTCTTTACTGAATCATGCAAGATATCTTACACTGACAAAAACTTGCCTTGAGGAGCATAACCACTAGAAATGGCATCAAAACCTGTGCCAAAAATTTATGGCTGTAAAGGACCCAACAACGAATGTAGTACCCCTTGATACACTACATAAACAAATTCCATGGCTGAGATATCCTTGTATCATTTTAGAAATCCTCTTCAGGCTAGAAATTAAGATCTGCCTCTACTGCAGTATTTATCATAGAGAGTGAATGTGTTTAGCTTGTAGTAGTTTTACATTTACAAAAATCTCCTTTATAAGCAGCAGCTTCATCATATCATCCCTTAACACTTACCCACTGAAAAAAGCCAATCCCCTGAAATATTAAGGGTTCTTTTTTCTTAAAGAAAAACTTAACATACAGAAGTTGATGCATTACTGCTAAACTAGCTGGCAAGAGAGCTATCACCAATCAGCAAAAATATCTGTATTGCAGGTCCTAATTCCCCAAGGAAATAGATGCAAGACCTGTGAAGCAAACCAGAAGAAGAACTTTACTGCATTTCACCATGAACTGAACAACCTTCTGAAATCTATGCTAAAATAATCAGAAAACCATTTTTATTTTTACTGCTACGTTATTTATTTAAATATTTAATTATCACTAACTTATATATTTTGCCCTGTGGCTTACCAGCTTGCTGTCTATTTTGGGACCACTGTATGTTCTTAGTCTGGGTGGTAAGACAGTCTGTTTTAAGATCACATTTGATCCTTTCCGTAAGCCCTACGGGCTCAGAATGTACTTTGGAAAACTAATTGGTTCTCACTTTGTCAATAAACTTAGAGACACAACTATTTATTGAAAAAACTATTAAAAGTTACTTGTAGATTATATTTAATAAATTTCAGTAACATATAAAAATCATGTGTAGAGTATTCTTTGTTAAATGATACTGTCTTTTTCACTGGTGACTTACTACTCTGCTTTTTTTTTAAAACACAATAAAAGCAGCCCCCAAAAGCATTTACCAGCATACAAGCGTACAGGTAACAGACTCAAGACACCTACAAGATATCATCTTTAAAGCATATAAAATACCAGTTTACACTGGCATACAGCACAAGGTATAGAAGCAACAGTACCAAGTTGCTTCCCTCAAAAGAGAGACCCAAAACAGCAAGTTGGGTTTTTTTTTTTTGTGAGCTCTTCTCCTTAGCTACACAAGCTTTCTGCTATATTTTTTGCAGGATACATTTTTCTTGTTGGCATAAGCAAAACATGTAGTTCTCAGAAATGTTCAGAGACAGGGAAACATTATTAAAACAACAATGCACCTGAAGTAATAACTATGCAGGTAACTGAGATACCAATGTCCCAGAACACTTACATGGCCAATTCTTTCCAGCAACAACTAACATAAAATTGATGATTAATGTATAAAACCATGTGAACGTATACTGCCTTAAGCATTCACAAAGATCTTTTTGAGGAATCTCAGAAACGTGCTTGCTTCAAATGAAGATGAGTCAGTCATTGTAAGTGACTGTGTGTGACATTGTAAGTTTTATGCAGAAAGAAACAACTAATAAGAGCATCTTTTACAATCCAAAACCCACCACTCGATGTTAACAATGCAAGCTGTAATCGATGAAAATAAGCCTACTATGACAGTTATCAGCCTATCGGTTAGTCTTTGATGTGTTTTGCTGGTGGGTGTGGTATGGAGTATTTCATGTTATATTTAAAAACAGACTAACAATGGAAAAAACAGCAGTTTTCTTGAATGCTGCAAAGAGAAAATAGGTGTTAATGATAGCTTTCTGCCAAAACGGGGAAAATACTTACAGCGCTGGTATCTGTTGCTCTACTTATCTTCTCTTCTCACAGTAAAGGAGTGCTCTGTCCCCACCCACAAGGACTCCGAAAAGCAAAATACTGTCACTCATCCCAGCCACAAAAAGATCAGCTCCACCCTCTTCTCAAATCAGATGCTTTCCAAATGACAGCTCATAATAACAGTAATACGTAAATACAGTATGACATAGAAGATGAGAAAACAGGCAAGAAATTTATTCACAGAAGTTCTTTCTACCTTGTCAATCTTTGTAGAATAATGCTTCTCTTTACATAGATTCCTTCTTGCTTGATAAATTTTTAAAACAGCATGCAAAAAGAATGAAAAAAAGTCTCCTTTAAACAAAGTGAGACAATATTTAAAGACATAGGAAGCACTGAGCCTATGAAATAAAGAGAGACTAGTCTTAAAGACACCCTTAAGAATGTAAGTATGATATGAGTACTACTGACTTCTGACTAGTACTGCCAATGTAGAGGAATTTTAGCACGCAGAATCTTGCAAGACCACCCACACGTTAAGTGACCACAGCAGTAAAACCGAGCAAGGCTGAAGTTGCCTAGCAGTGACGCTAACCTGCAGAGTCAAATCTAGAAACCTCCCGGAACACCTGCTGGACTCCCCATCAGGTCTGTGTCTGAAGACAGTGTAGGAGGCTAGTCCAAGGAGGGGCTAACTTGCACCCTAGTGCAGAGTATTAGGGAGAGAATGGAAATAGAATTATAGTTCGATAGTAAATATACACAGTTTATATGATTTAAGGCTAATAACAGATTTACAGCTGTAAAAATGTACTACATAATGTAACTGTAACTTAGTAATAGTGGTGTGTGTTTAGAATATCCATTATTTCACTGAGTTTTTTCATCAGGTTACTTAATAAACATTATAACCTTTTGAACTGTTTACATCTAAAGCCTCTAACCTACAGCAGAAAGCTGCACCCCGAAGTAACAGCATCACACAAAACATGTGGCTTTGCAGACAACCATGTGCCAGTATCAGGCCACGCATGTTTATCTGCATCGCTGCCCCAGCCCTCAACAATCAGAAAGAGGGTACAGTAGCAGTTTTCATTGAACCTAGTTCTCTTAATAAATTAGGCTTCCTTTATCATTTGCTTAAGCGTGAGAAACCTCAACTCTAAAGATCTGGTAAAACCTATCTTGGGGTCAATCCACACAGACATCCCATGGGGAATAACCAAGACCTTTTCTAAGTACCTAAACAGTAAATGTTAGATAAGGCAGGAACAGTCAAGTACTTCAGAAACCAAGAAATGATGGTGAAGAGATACCCGTGTATTCGTAAGTAAAGGTAGAAGCCATAGCTCACTAATAATTCCGTAAACAAAACACATGTAGTGTGAAAATATATACACCTTTTTGGGGGGTCTGGTCTGCACAAACTGCTTTGGAGTTGGGGTGCAATATTCCAAGACAGCTGCACGTTTACAGTCACGGGAAGCAGAGGCTTTGGCTGTTCTGGCACTAGTTTTGGGGATTGCCACATGACTTCTGTACAGTAGCCATGCTCTGCTGTGGATTTTCAAAACATTTGCTGCCTGGCTTGCTCCCCCTGTAGCAGCTCCAACAACCGCTTCAAGACACTTTTTCAGAGAAGCACCTGTTTGACTTTAAAGGCTGCTGATACATATAGCTAGTTGAGGTAGGAGGAAGTTGTTTGTGTTGCACATATTTGTAATCATGAGGCCTTTTAGATTCTGATTAATGTTTTAAGTTGATATTTCAGTTTCAGCCATACATAACTGTACGTTTCCTAAAAAGTATGCAAGCCGTCTGCAAAACATTTTGCATGTCAGCAGCTGATGGAAGTTATTTATGTCATATTAACAAAAGGCACACTGGAAAAGCATGTAAACACACTCCTGCCATTCTGTAGAAAAATCTAAGGCAAAGGGTAGGTAAAAAACCCTGAGTCATTAATGATCAAGTATTAATTTCACTGCAGTTAAAAATGCCTGCAAATATGTACTCTTTAAATGACAAGTTTCTTGACTAAATTAGGCTTCGGAGAACAAGTTCTGATCAAAGCAATGCAAAAATGAAGATTTATGCCCAAGTCACTGTAATTTTGCATTCTCTAAGGGCCACTGAATGACAAAAAGCAGCAACAGAAAGTAAGCATGACAAACATTACTGCAGCAGAATCTTGTGAAAAAACTCTTACTGTGAATCCAAGATACGCAGTAGTGGTCACTACACTTCAGTGTGCAAAGAGGTTTGCAGATTGCCATGACATAGCAGCACATGACAGGAGTAGATAACGTTGAGTGTAACATAAAACATAAAGCTTAGACTAAATAAAAATATACTGTTGGCAAAACGTGGTAAATAGCATAGCTCCAAAGACAGTGAAAAAAATCAGTTTACATTTGCTCATACCATCTACAGATGAAACGCACAATGGATTTCTCACTAAAATTTGTACATTTACAAAACACAGACTGGGTAGATATTAATGTGAAATGTAACATTTGTCAAGTTCTAGTCAACTTGACAGAACGAGAAGTGTACTTTCCTCCCTATTTTGTGATACTATCACTTTAGTCCATTTGGTAGCCCTTTAACCTTTTGTTTAAAAACAGGAAAAAACATCTAAAGTTGTTAAAATATTGATAAAAATTCTACATACAGCAAACAAATTCTCCACATATTTTTGTCTGTCAAATTTGCAACCAATTATAGCTAGATTCACATACTGAAATAGTAGCTGCAGGATCGGCTCCTGTATTTGCCCAAGATTTAAAAGAAATCTTTAGAGAAAAAGAATATTATATTGCAAGCATCTGAAAACGCATAGCAAGGTGAACTTTACTGTACATACCTTCTCCTCTAAGTTGTGAAACACCTCAGCAGAACCCGTTACAACACTTAAGTCAATCAATTTCCTGAGCTCTTGTCTGCTTGATCCCACAGCTTTACTATAAAATTAAAATGTGACATGTATGACACGTGCCATGTGTCATGACACACATCATGCATGTACCATGTATGACATGCATGACACATGACATGTGACAGGTATCCAGCATGTATGAGATGACATCTATGCGACATGTATGCTGTGATGTGTGACATGTGACATATTACATGTGACATGTAACATGTATATGACATGTATGACACATGATGGGACATGCATGTGATATCTGTGACACGTGACTTACATGTGACATGACTTACAACATGAGATGACATGACTTGCGTGAGGTGAGACATGCAACATGTGACACGTGTGACAACATGCATAACATGAGATGCGGTGACGCAACACACGGGAGATGGTGACACGCAACACGTTGAGACGTGACAACATGCATGATATGAAATGTAACATGCAACACGAGACATGGTAACATGCAACACACGTGAGACATGGCACGCAACACGTGACTGATGACATGCATGTGATGTGCCATGTGACACGGCTTGTGACATCAGATGTGATGTATGTCAGAATCAACATGTGGCATGTTACAGCTATGTTACGCATGTCAGACTTGACATGTGTCACTTGTGACAAGTATATGCATATAGGTATAGCAGGTGTGCGTATGTATACAGAGAGAGTATGTGCACGCACGCACAGCCATCTATGCATGTGTATATATAGTCTCACCAGTGGACCTCAATTCTTCTCAAGTAGGGAGGGGACAAAGAGGCTGAGCTCTCAACCAGAGGCTGTTGGTGCTGTTTGTGTTCATATGCCTGTCTCTAGTCTGTGC